CGAAACGTTTTTGCCCGGGCACCCTGGACCGGATCTGTCGACGGTTCGCCTGATAATATAATTTATGTCTCGCCGAACTATTATATTATTATTACAATAAAATATAATACATACGTAGGTACGTCCTATATATAAGAATAATAACGATTACGATATTATATTATTATTAGGCATCATCGGCGCGGTGCAGAGACGACGGACACGTTAGTAATATTATTTTATATTGTTACCGTTTAGATTTTCCGTCCGACCTAACCACAGGTATTATTACCAGCAGCTATTTAAACGACAATACGCCAACGAATAATGCTGTTATTGTAAAGGGACACGGACGGCAACAAAACTCCCATGAAATAATATAATAAAACAATACGATTGTCGTCTTCCGCGATATTCGTCCAGCAAAACGTAAATTACAACCGAGAGACATCCAATGAATGTGTATAGTAAAAAACCTAGTGAAAATATTAAGGTTCTAGTGCAGTAAAAACAGTTTTTCACGATAATAATTATTGGTTCATTGGATTTGATTGACGTTGTTAACTCTACAACGTGTATTTTTTTTTTCTTATAGTTTTTAACTTGGAGAATACGAACAAATACTTAAAAAAACAACAAAGTTGAATCCTTTAGTTAAAAAAATCGAACAAATTGGTTGTTGCTCTAGAGCAGTGGCATATCCAGGGGGGCTCCCTCCGAAATTTCAGGAAATCTTAAATCATTATTTAATTAATTAAATAATATAAAATACATAGGCACCATAGTTCAGCAATACGGTATACGTTGTTTTCATAACAAACTAGGTATATCACCAAGACACAAAACGTGTACGTCATGCCTATTGGTATAAACGTTATCATATTCACATTGTTATCATTGTTATTCAAAAATAATATTTACGTAATTACCTATAATCAATAATGATTAATGGTATCAAGGTTGTAAGTGCAACACTCGTTTTTGTAACACATTTCCTTTTTATTTATAAAAATGTTACTTTTAATAAACTTATTTTAACTAATTTTTGGCAAACGGTTTTAAAAACTAGTGATAAAACCATGCACAAGGTAACTAGTATAGCTACTTTAGCAAAACATCTAAATCAGAGTCTTAATCTGTAAGAAATTCCCATAACCATGTCAAATTTCTGCATGCTGAGCCATTGATAAATTATTTAAAAATTTCAATTATATCCTGAAATCTACTGGTTTAAATGAAAACTATATACAGTGAAATCCGTCTAAACGGATACCTATGTATAACGGACAAAATAACAAGATCTCGGGAAAAGAGATATTTCTATGTACTTCACTTTGTCTATAATAGATTCTTCCTACAACGAACGTATACAGTGATAATTCTCCCCGTTAGCATAACAACGGATAATTTTACAGTAAAACAAACGAATTTTCAATTCAATCTTCCGATCAATTACTTTTTTTTTAGTTGAAAACGATTATGTTTATTTTGTGATCAATGTAAATGAAATGTTATGTTTTATTATCATATTTTAAACAAAAATTTTCATCCCGCGTTATTTATTCTGAGCTAATTACTTTTTCTTTGCAATAAATAGCACCTCATGTTCTATCTAAATCACTCGATTTAAAGTAAAAAGTAGTAATTACTTCGTGTAAAGACACTAATGACTTATCTTTTCGTAAGCTCGTTGAATATTTGGTATCGGGTAAACCTAAGTAGCCAAATAAATTTGGCTATAAAAACACTATAACCTGCTTACTAAAAAACGGATACCTGTATACAACAGACACTTTTAATAGGCCCGTGAGTGTCATAGATGTGAAATAGGCAGATTTCACTGTAATATACAATCATATTAATGTTTTGTTACAGTTAATTAATCATATCTCACGTAGAAGGATAATTATTGATTATAACAATTTTTTTCGGCTTTAAACATTCATCGTATTTAAAAATGTGGTAGTATTGCTTTCATAAAGGTGAATAAAATGTAAAATGCACAACTGACACAATTGCACTGTGACGCCGAGAATAATAATAATAATAATACGGTATAAGTTATAGTGGACAGCAGTCTACCGTTTTGTAGAGAAAATTGTAGTGCGGCTACCTGCAGTATGTCAAAAGCGGTAAATTTCAAGTCAGGGAGCCTTGTTCCATGTCTATAGGTGACAAAAAGCGAGCACTACACGCGAATTACATGTACAACAGTAATATAGCAGCTGGCTGCAGGCTGCAGTACAGCTTCACGAAATCGGTCATCCGTTCTCGTATACCTATTACCTATACAAATCGTGATTTTTGAACTCCGTGTCGTCGTCCCGGCGATTTGTCGGTTCGTCGACGTTTTCGAGGCTCCTTTTGATTGTCGAATCATTACATATCTATTGGCGCGAAATATTTATCGAAAAAACGTCGACTCGCGTTATACTATATAGATTTACAATACCTATACATAAATAGCATAATAATATATGCAACACGAGGCGACCGTTTTGGACCGTTTTCGCCACCGCCTTCGCCGTTTTTCTTTACGTTATTCACAGTCAACAATAAATACGACCGTATTGTTACAATAATAATATTATCGTTGATGTATCGAGACCGGTAGGCGGTTGATTTGTCGCGCACAAAGCAAGCCGCATCCTCCGTATAATAATGACCGCGACGCGTCTTTTTATAATATTCGAAACGCGGATATACGAAGCCACTATTATTGCAGAACCCATATTATTATACTATACAATAAAAACATTGTATTATTTTATTATTAGAGAACTGATCGCGTGTTTTATTGTGCGCGAAAGGCGATTCGACCGCCCTAACATACCTATATAGGTACCTAGGTATACGGTCGGCTATTCGACAACAGGATTTTCGACGGCACACACGCGTTCGTATATCAAATCGCAGTTACCGCGGAAAGTGACCGTCGTTGCAGGTGTTTGAAATCACGGTTTTTATAAATTATGTACAACAATAATATGCAATAAGAGTATTCGCACACGCGTATTGTTCGATTTATGAAGAATCACAAATTAAGTAATAGAATATTCTAAAAATTATTTATTTATTTATAGTAATTTTATACAATTTCTAATTTAAGTTCTAAAGTTAAATACCTGGTCATTAGAAGAATGACTATTCATCTAATGGATATTCTCCAAGAATTGTGCAACTTGTATACACAAAATATGAAGACTAATGTCGGGTTGCATAAAACTATATGGAACTGATAGCCGGCTATTAAGTGCCTGGGAGCTGTGAATGAAAAATGAAAAAGATACTAAGTTATTTCATTAACTACTTTCTATGATAATAGGGGATTAGTATAATTTTATAATAAAACACTTAATTATCATGGATGGAATTTCTATAGTAGGTAGCAATGTTGAAGTAAAACACGAGTAAAATTAAGGTAATATATCGATGCAGAGAAAACACATACAGGAAGAAGAGTAAGTAATGTACGTTTCAAGACGAGGATGAACTTCGGCCTGGAAGATTGGGCTGGAGAATATATAAGGAGAAAAGGGAAAGTGTGTGTGATATCATCCGGTTGCCAATATCATATATTATCTTAAATATTAATTGTCGAATACAAATTGACTTAATTACTAGGTAATAAAACTAATAATCGTATATAATAAAAAATGTGAACTGATGTAATAAGAATATTCTTAGTATATATCGGCTATATATTTAATTAGATCTTATTTATCTTTATTGCAAAAAAAAAAAATGCAATATCCATTATATCCGGTCTTTAGTTATAACGTCATCGACAAGTTAATAATTAGTACTATCTATGACTCCCAGTATTTTTAATTTTGATAAATAAAAAGATAAGCTTGTGATTTCTTATTGTCGATAGTCCCATTTCATCAGGCCATATTATTTCCTAAGCGTACCTAAACAAAAACCTTATACCACCTAGTGGTCATTTGTTTAAAAATTTCGTTTAGATATGCCTTTTAAAATAATGACGCACCTCAGTAAAGATTCAAAACGCCGTAGAATTCTTGAGGAAATACAAGGAGTTTTTGACCACAGTAAACCTATTCCTATGAATCAAGTACACCTTTAGTGAACGAACCATTAGTTGATAGAAGTCCTTCAACAAATAGACTAGCTAATTTTAATTTTTAATGTTTTCTCAAAGTGCACACGATATTTTTAAAACGTCTTACGTTAATTTTACATCGAAGTCATGTTCTATTAATTTTATATTGTATTATAACAAAGGATTAAGAAGTTATAACAAATGCATAAATGTATCAATTGACAAAGCTGTAATAATAATTGTATTTTTATTTTTATTAAAGAGTTTTCTTGAGTAAACAAAGATGATACATAGAGTTCACAAAGTCCATCATACTTATTTGATGAGTCTGACGAGTATCGGAATTGTATTAGTTCATTGATAACCACAAATTTGAGTTCTTCAAATCAATTAACACACCAAGAGTCAATGTAATGTTCAAAATACATCAATTACAAAAAGTAAGAAGAGGTTATCTAATCTCCATTTAGTTTTAAGAAAAGTACAAAAATAACTTGGATTAGATTAATAGAGCGCTGGATGTTGAAAAAATAAAAATCATGTTCGTGTCTATTATGATATTTACATTCGGAGTGTATAGATGAAATATTAAATAATAAGATTGTAAATTGGTTGTTTTAAATATCGAATACAGTGTTTTCTTTTGATTTGTTCAAGTTTTCATTTTATTAGAACCTAACTCTATAAGTGAAGAATTAGAGCAAGTGGCTATCATTGATTCGATGAGCAAGGAAGAAAAATACTTCACTTTAGTATTTGATGAGTTGAAAATAAAGAATTTTTTCGAATAATCTTAAATGTTTAGATCTGGTAGAAGGATATAAAAACTTGGGTCCCAAAGGCCAAACAAACTTGCAGAACAAACAACAACACAATAATAAAACTCAGATTAACAAAAGGCCTCAGGTTACACATAGAATTACATATATATATATATACCTTATCAGTATGGGACATGTTATCTCACATTAAATTGGCCAATTTAAATAATTATCACCATAATAAACACCAAACAAAGCGCATATTCTGGGGATGTTGGAGGTGGAAGATTCACTCTCAAAGTTCCCAAAGACATATAGGGGACAGGAGATTCTTAAAAGAAGATGTATCAGCTCACACAATCGTTAAAAAACAAAAAGACTTTCTGTAAGCCTTATCCATGTCATTTAAGAAAAGCTTAGAAGAAAATATCGTCAATGCAAAAACAGTGTTAAATGCAAAGTACTTATCCATCATTTAATATTCCCTACAAGCAACAAAGAATTATTTACTGAACATGGAGCATGGGTTCCAGCAACTGCTGCATCATTAAAACCTACTATTGATGAAATCATATTGAAGGATGTCAAAGCGGATCCGTTGGATCACCTTATTGATGCAAATGAACTCTTTGATCCGAACGGTGAAATACAAAAAAGGAAACAAACTAGAACAAAAACACCTCTAACAAAGTTCGAAAAAGAAGTAACTAACGACGATTCATATACGATAAGATGGACGTGTTTAGTGGCAGCATACATTCACCAAAACACCTGGTAAAATGGAGAAATTATGGAGCCATATGTCAAATAGATATCTGGGCTTTTATCAGGATTTAATAGAACATACTCCCCAACTCATGGATTGCCCATAAGACGTATTTATCGGCCTCCGGGAAATACTTGTTACATGGGCCAGATTAATAGTTATGACCAAAAACAAGTTAGATCCTTCTGATAAAGACTATAGATTGTTAAGATTTTTAGGCATTTTGGTATTTTGTTATTCCAGTATGCATGCGTATAGCTTATTCATTTACCTCACAAAGAAGACTAATACTACCCTATAGTATCTGCAAGCTATACTTTAAGTATGCTAGGCTGCTGAGCCCACAGAACTTCATGTCATTACAAACGAAATCCTGAACTAGTCTACCTAATCATCAAATTACTAAAATACTTACAAGATCCTTTTAAAATAGTAATCCTGGACCCTATCTCTATATATTACAGACAATTCTTTAATGAGATGGCCAAGTCCATCCACTCGTCCATGTTAGGTGCAGGTAGTGCTTCCAAAAATACAGCCCACGTATGTGCGGCAGAAAAACTGATAAAAACAACTTTTCCCATTCTTTCTACATAGTTTTCGGTTTTATTCAATTATTAAAAAAACTACAAAGAAAATCAAAAAACGACCTTCTTAGTCACGAACTAGATTAAAAATGCAACAAAAAATATCTCGTGTCGTTTTTCTTTTTGAGCAATATTTGTTTTAAAAAATGTAAGTCGTATAAATCGTTGAGCTGTATACAGCTTAAATTATAATTTGAACAAATCGTATTTTTCGTCTTTTTTTGGTTATTCCCAATTATTATGAAAATACTTCAGATATCCAAAAAAAGGACTTAATTTTATCAACGGCTATATTATGTTAAAAGGAACAAAATCGGTCTCATGTTATTTTTCGAAAGGAGCAATACTCCGGTAGAAAACATCGTGAATAAAAATTAAAAACAATGAAAACGACAACGTCGTTTTATACGCGTGTACAAATACGTATTTTATATTTTACTACATAATATAATAAACGTTCCAACCATGATTTTTTTCGCCTAGAATATTCTAAAAAGGTTTAAGTCTATTATTTATTTAGTTTTTCACAATGTTATGTGCGTGCATATATACTTATCCCGTATAGTATGGCAAAAATGCGACGTCACGTAATACATATATAAGTGACCGGAATGACCAAATACATCGCCGTTAAAATTATAAGGTTCAAAATACATTTAAGATTTTCTATTGATTTAACTATTAGGTATATAAAATACATAATATATCCGTATACTGTGGGAACTCGCAAAGGGGTTTTTTTCCGTGAGTTTTCAAATACGTCCCGTATAGGTTAGGTACTTATAAAATATTTAATAAATCCGGCAATAATTCTGGTTTAAAAATAACCTAATTCGTATTATATTTTTAAAAAACCGTTCATTTCATTCACGTAAAATAATGTGTGCATATAGAAATAAGAAAACATATTTTGTTTCGATTTTTCGTACAAGTTTTATCGACTTTTAGTTTAACAACAACAACTACAATAATATTTGACAGACGAGATTTTTAAATTGTAACGTAGCGTTGTAGTTCTAAATTAATTAGCGTAAAAGTGTAGTGCGTATTATTGTTATTATCTATATATACAAGTATACAAAAAGGGCTATACTGCTGATGGCAGTGCTACTATTTTAGAAATGAAGTTGGAAGGGAGAGGGTGGTTACTATAAAGTAATTTAATTTTTAACTGTACGCAATGATAGACCATTGTTAACGAAAAACCATTCTCAGCAAAGTATTATTAGCTTATTCATTTCCCCCCTCTGTTATTGATGTAAACCAGAAAACAAAGAAAAAAACCAGTTTTTCTCATTTATTAAGAAAAGTACCTATAAAGAAAATCAAAAAAATAAACCGACAAGATCAAAAATTCTACAAGAAAGTTTCTATAAAAAATTTTATTAGAATAAGATTTCTAATAGAAATGTTTTTTGCAATTACAAAAAAAAAAGCCATCACACACATTATAGCATTACATAAGAATCCAAATTATATGCATCATATGATTTGAATATATTATACATAGATATATCTACAGTTTTATTCCAAGCGGCAAGCTTGATGGAATTTTTCACACTTGAAGAAGGAAAATCGTTGACTACTTTTTTTTCGGAATTCCTATAGGGTATTTCACATTCAAATTCTATATTTAAAATGCAAAATTCGTACATTTTTTTTTTCTTTTTATGTTTATTACTGAGTTCCCTAGATTGGTTAATTTGGTTGTACATAAATTTTAAATATTCTATCAAATGATGGTTACTGATTACCTATAACGGAAGGCCGAATTTAACTGTGTACCGTTGCAATTATGCTAATTATATAATCGGAAGATTTTTTCCTGTACCATATTTACTATTCGACATGGAAATTTTAGCTCTAAAAACTTTTCATAACAAAAAAGGTTCACAACATCGTAGGTAAGATATGTACGTATATTCTTTGCGGGCTGTTTGTTTTTGGGTAACCTCACCCATAGGATTCTGCGTACTAACAGCTAATAGAATATTAGGTAAGTGTATTATCTTCATGAAGGTAAAAACAATTGTTTTTTTTCCTCAGGTATGGGTGTATTTGCAATTATTAGACGTGGAGTTTTCAGAGTTAAGTGTACAAAAACTCGCGTATACTAATAAAAAAATGCCAAAATTATAGGGAAAAAAACATTAAAAATTAACGAGAACACAAATACATTTTCCCAGGAAACGCAGCAGACGGCGCAGAAGGCTGTGAAAAAAAATAAAACGAAACTGAATGAAATTGACCGGTTATTATTATGTTATATACACTCTCGAAAATGAACGTCTGACGCCAATAAAATGATCAGAAAACTTTATCTTTGCAGCCGCTATAGGTTATAAGTATATATAATATTATTATATATTGTGCCTGCAATGTAACCCGACATTAAAAGTAAAAATAAAAAAAAAAAAAACATTCGAAAATAACAGTAATAATAAACGTGGTGGCGGTAAAGGGAAAAGATATCAATTTCGATTCCCATATCGACGACCTATCTATATTATAGGTGGGCGCACCTACCTATTTAATGTATACTTTTTATTTTATTTTTTCTTAACGTTGTACATATATGAAAAAAAGAAAAATGTTTTTTTTTTCTTCCTTTACGTCGAGTCTTTTGTTCTTAACTACGACGACGACGACGATGACGACGACGCTATGATATTATATTATATTATTATATAGTGTGTGTATCCTCTACACGTATTACGATCGCGGCATTTAAATAATATCTCCGAGTCGCGATAATATTTTTAACTCTGTATTATACCTATTATACACGTTTACGTGTATATTTTTTTTTTTTTTTATTATTATTATTGTTATTATCATTATAATCGTATATATTATGTGTATAGCCGCGCGGCGTTATAGTACACCCATATCTGTATACCGCGGGCGGATGTCCCTCGGGCGTCTTATATACATTCGTCTATAACCCGGTGTATATATAGGTATATAGGTGTATTTTTATAGAGCTGCCTATAGATTCTTTTACTTATATAATAATGATAATATTATACACCGGGTACTATACTTTTGGAAGTGTGTGTTTATCTCTCTCTCTCTCTCTCTCTTTCTCTCGTAACAATAATCATATACAAGTAATATAATCATATTACTTGTATATGATTATTGTTGTTACCGATGCGCGCAGACGTATAATATTATTATTATTAAATCGGGAAATTCACGAAGGTGGAACCGATTCGAATAAAAGGAGAAAAAAAAATGTAAAAATCACTGTTATTATCCCGTTTGGATTCCCGCGCGGCGGGACCGGGTCCTCTCCGCGTATTATAATAATATTGTAATAATTCTCGTGTGTTCGTGTCGTTTAACCGCACTGCTCGCGCCGCTCGTCTCGACCTCTACTATCTGTGTAAAGTATCGCGACGACGTATAATATTAAATATTAATATTGTTTTGTTTTTTTTTATACATATAACTTAACTATCGTTAACGCGTCGTCGTAAAAAAATAAAAATGAAAAAAAAAAACAAACCAGTAATAATAAAAACTATATTTCTGAAATTTAATGACGGTCCTGCAATACCTATATACGAGGCGGCGGGAGAATTTCACGAATAACGCACATTATTATATACGTGTAGTAATAATATTATAGGTATACGTAAACGTCGTCGGCGAACAAATTATACACATCACTGCAACACACACACGGAACAAACGTATTATAATACCGAATCGTTTTTGACCGATTACATCTCGCCGGGTCCCGGTGTCGGACGACTGCAGCAACAGTACGCCTGTGATATTATTATGTATACTGTACATTACGCACGGCGTATACACACTCTATATAATATATACGCGTTTATTTCGTATATTATTGTGCATTATCCGGTGTACACCTACGACTCGTTGACGGTCTTGGAATTACGAATCCCCTATGACGGGGATACTATAGCCGCGTGCAATATAAATATTAATACCCGCTAGTACTGCCCTCCTCAAGAGACGATAGCAGAGTAAACGCTAAATTTTCGACTACGTTTTAAACGATAAACGTTTCATGTTATTTATCAGGGCGAAATAAAACCACTAGCAGTGCCTTGAAAATCGATTCCCGTATCGACCTGAAAATATTGTCCGATACCAAGGCAATATTAATGGATACTAGGCGGGACTGTGTAAAGCTGTAGTATGTCCTACTTAGATTTCAGTGATCATGGTAAACACGACGACCCCACACAGAAAGAAAAACCCGGGTAATATAAACAAAAAGAACGGTTAAATTTAAAAAAATCGCTACATAGGGCTATGAGGCCACATTGTTAATTTTAAAATTAAAGCTGCCTACACACATTCAGTCTCCAGTAAGAGTTTAACTGTAGGTGTTTGTATTCAGATAAATCGAAGCTTATTGGGATTGACCCTATCAATTGAATTAAAAAA